TTTATTAGTACATTGAATATCGAAGCTGGTATATTGTAATGTCTGATGCAGAAGCAAGATTGCTACAAAAATTAAACGTGGATATTTATCTTTTTATCTACCTTTTTCTCCCGTATTCAATTTTTTCTATATTAAAATAATATCAGAAATCACGTATCACAAATATCAATTTTAAAATAAAACATGTTGACGAAGAAGAAAAAAAGGTGCATGATTGGTACCAAAACCTAATAGTAGCAACGTGCATGACCATAGGCTTGCATTAAATTTGCAATGTCCTTTTGGGTAATGCGATTGGAACTTCTTTTTATCCATCCTATTTATTCACTTTTATCTAGGTAAAAATACATTTTTCATCTTTTATATGATTTATTAGTATCAATTTAGTCTTACTTTAATTAATTAAATCAATTTAGTTATACATTTTTAAAATGTATTTTTAATGTTTGACCTTCTGTTTCCTTTATTTAAATACTTAACACACCTGATGCATGTCATATTACCTGTCATGTTATCATGACACGTGTCATGCTATCATGTCACGTGTTATGTTGTCATGCCACTTATCATGTCATCTGATGGAAATGACTTGGAGAAATGATGGATGTTCTCCTCTAAGCTTCATCCAATGTCCAATCTAGATCTTAGAGGTTCTTCAATAGGGAAAATGGCGGAAGCAAATCAAGTTCTAAAACTTGTTAGAAACCATTCTTGTGGTTCAATTCTTCTTGAAGGAGAAGAAGTGAGAAACTAAGGCACAAAGGAGAAAGTCCTTTGTGAAGGTTCTTAAGGGAGAGAGTTTCTCCACAGTTTTAGGATCTTGGAATAGAGAATTTTGAGAGAAAATTCTGATTCATAACATCCAAAAGTGTCTACAATTGAGAGGTTTAGGAATATATAGAACTAGGTAGCTTGTGGATCAAGGAAGTTAAGCTTAACCATGGTTCAAGTGAATAATGGTTGACTTAGCTTGACCATTCACCTTAGTTTAGGAGGCTTGTGGAGCAAACTTCTATCTTAGCTTGCTTGGAAAACAAGCTAAGTTAGAAGCTTGTAGCACAAGCTTCCCAAAGACATCAAGGTTGGAAGCAAGTTCGGCCAAGGAAGGAAGCTAGGCGACCTTGGGCTTGTTTGCTCACTTAATCTGTTTCAAAAATTGTTGATTTGGTTTAGTTAGGTCTATCCAAAAATGGTGAGACCTAACTAAATCAAATCCTTGAAAAATATGGAGTAAAACAAATCTAATATGTAAAATTTTGCTTAGGCCTAATTCTGGCCCAATTGCTAAACACATCCTCATTCTTTGTTATTTACCACCTCACTTCTACTATTGAAAAATGTAAAAATGGTGACATTTAATACAAGGTCAAATGGAGTAAAAGTCTCTAAATAACCTACTATAAATTCATTATACAATGATCTATAAAAAGAAAACAAGGTGCCTCACAAATATAAAGGCAAAATAAATCTATATAAATAACTACTATATTTACAAACATATGAAAGGTCTTCAAAATCAACTCATTCCTCTTAGTTCCTTTAATGTATCACCTCTTAGTTTCCTTAACCTTGACAAGTTTCCATCATCTCACCATGTCACGTGTCATGTCATGTGTTATCCCATGTGCCATGATGTCATGCCATGTGGCATGATAACATGACACGTAATATAATATGTGTCATATCCATTAAGTATTTAAATAGAGGAAACAAAAAATCAAACGTTGAAATACATTTTAAAGATGTGCGACTAAATTGATTCAATTAATTAAAGTGAAACTAAATTAAATCTAATAAATAATATAAGAGACGAAAAATATATTTTTACCTTTTATTTATTATCTTTATTGCTCACGTGTTAATTACCAACAAAAAGTACATCACTTAGGTATGATAATAATGGAGGTAAATAAATTTTGAATTATATGCTACGTACAACATGTTTATTACGGTAGGAATATTCACAAGCACTTTTATTTTTTTAATTAAAACAAAATACTAAGACCTGAGTCAACCAACCTTCCAAGACATTTGCACTGAGGTTTAGTTTAGTTTTAATCTTAAAAATTATTTAAATTAAACAAAAAGTTAAGTTTAATTTGATTTGAATAAGTTATAAAATTCAAAGTAAATTAAATAAATATTTATGATTTGGTTTCTCTTGATTTTTTGATTTTTAAAAATTTTGTAGTTAAAAATAAAAATAAAATATTATGTTATTTAAGATCTTACATTAAAAATAAAATTAAAAGTATGTAAATATTAAAAAAAATTAGTCAGTTAATATATTTAATACCAATTTTTATATTATTATTGCATCAAATATTTTTATGATATATAATATAGTTTGTCATTTAAAATAAAATTATTTTTAAATATTATAAATAATTCATACTTTTTTCATTCTAACATTATGTTTAATAATTTACAATTTTATAAAAATATCTTTTAAATACTACAAAAGTACATATGGGTAAAATATAATAATTTATAATTTTATAAAACACTTTTTATATTATGTATCATTATCAATATTTTTCATTTCATATCTATGTGTTAAAATTTCACTTTAAACTATGTTGGATTATGTATTAATTTTGTATACCTAAACTATGCATTTGGAAAAAAAAAAAAACATTAATATACAAGTTTGATTTAATTCGATTTAGATTAGTTTTATATTCTAATTTGAAAATCAAACTAAATAACGTGATTTTGAAAAATAAAAACCAAATTAAATCATTAATTTGTAATTTTTTGTTTTTGACAAAACTTAGATACAGCTTCTTAAGTGAAGTTAGAATTATTTTTCATTCAGAATTAAAATTTTATTTCTATAACATCCATAAATATATATTAATGAGGCATAATACGTTTATATAATATTAAAGTAAAACTTTAATTTTAATTGAAATATAATATCAACATTCTTAAAAAATTATATTTAAGTTTTATCTTTTTTTATTTATTATTTATCTATTTTTAAGTTTTTTTAGATCGTGTGTATGTTTGTTTCTTGAGTTGATTTGATTTTAAACAGGTGTGGGAGTACCAGGCATAAATAACTTTTTGATCGTTAGGTATGATGATAATGAGAGGATGTGACTTTTGTTGTGCCATTCTTTAAAACTAGTTGAGTTAGGTAGGATAATAATGGGGATTTAATAACACAGTTGAAAAAAATGGTGTGAGATAAATGTGAGGATTTATATTTGTGGTACACAGCACCCTGGGTCCTGGAGCGTTCATCCGTATGAATATAATCCATGCATGACCATAGAAAAGTCAAATACGTGAGCTTCTCATATTTCACATAATTTCAGTTCCAAGAAGTTAATATGATAGATCCATCACCTGTTAGCGTGTACGTCACTTTATTTCAGACCTACCTTCCTATCCTCTTAATTGTCACTTTTTTTTTTTTTTTTTTTTTTTTTTTTTTTTTTGTTTATTTGATTTTTTATTTGACATTTAAATTGAAAAATCTGTTATTACTCATGTGAGTTGCAACCCATGATATTTTTAGGTTTGCTTTCTTTTATTCACCGTGTTATATTTCGACAATGTGGCAAGATGATGTAGTTTCAAACTTAGATCTCTACATCTTTAACATGACAAAACAAAGGAACAAGGAAATGAAGAAATGAGTTTGTATTCTGTGTATTGATTTCTACACTTGATAATATTCTTACGTATATTTGACTTTCCATCCTATTGCAGGATCTTGCACCTGAACGCGCTTTTGCAGATTTTGTTCTCTGCAATTTGGTGCTTCATTTGGTGATCATGAATTTCCTTGGTTAAATTGGGTTTGTGTGGCTGTTGTTTCTGATTGAACCCTTGGATAAAAAAAATGAATAGTATACCTAGAGATTTTGCCATTTATGTTGATTCCCCATTCCCCCTCACCATTTTTGTATCTCTGTTTTGAACGTAGAGATTTTGCCATCTTTTGAAGTTCAAACTACTTTTGAATGGTGACTACAGAAGGTGTCCACATGGATATCTAAATCTTAAAGATGCCAAGTTGTAGTCACAAGAAATTTGTAATTTTTTCGGTGAGATTAAATTTTCGGACATGACAGGAGACCAACGAATATAAGGATCAAAAGGGGGAGAGGATTGGTGAGTAGGGTAATATATTACAGCTGATTCCATAGTGATGCTTCCAAAAGAGCAAACGAAGCTGCGTAGCATATGGCATGGTATATCGAAGAAAATGAAAAAATAAAAAATAAAAAAATAACAAGCTACATACGTGTTTATTGCCTGTGTGGCCGTGAATCAGGATCTGTCATATTGACCAAAAACATTCAGGAATTCAAGGTGCTTATAATTCAACAAAATGCATGTAAAATAATTCTATCCTTCATCAGTCCATCTTTCTTTGTCCCAACTTATTTGCCATGGTTTCGTTAATTTACCGACGATTCCACCATTGGCTTCTTCACCAAATGTTTCTTTCCCTCAGCTAATCCTACTTGCGATG